ATACAGCAGTTTTGGAAAACTAATCAATTTATAAAAATTGTCTCTCCCTATATATGAGAGTGGCAATTTGTTCCAATGTTCCAATTTGGTAAAAATAGAAGAGAGCATAGGAGGAACATTCAATTTATGCAAAAGGGCAACGTTTCATGGGATCTTAATTACCAAGTATTGTAGGGTTGTTGATTGCCATTTCAATGGTACACTCCCAGACAACTTAGGGGGGTGGCCCCCTCCCCAGATGTAGCACACTGGATTTAGGTCAGTTAACTTTAAGTCCTGCCAGGGCATAAAACCTCCCAAGTAGGTCAAGAAGGGGTGTACAATGATACAAAGCAATTACAGTAAAAATAACACAGCAGAATACGGCAGCAAACACACTTCAATTTTAGAAAAATAGGACCGGCACGCTACGGGACATCACAATCCTGTATCGGCACAGTGCTGCTAAAAGGTTGCCTACCCCTGCTCTAGAGAAAGAAAAACAGTACAATAGTGTGATACTGAACAATAAAACTGCATCAATATAAATTGAACTCACAAGATGTAGATAGTGAGATCGCCTTAGGGTGCCTCCCCTTAGATGTTTGGGGGGTATATGCAGAACTCCCTCTCAGCTGGTTGGTATTGTCGCCACACTATATATGGAAGTCCAGACTCCCGAAATGGTAAAAAAAAATACTATGCTTTATTATATGAGTATAAAGGATAAAAAAACAAATATGGTCCTATGCTTTTCGTCTTACATAAGACTTCCTCAGGGACCCAGTGATAAAAAACAAATTTGTACACTTAAAATATCCTAACAAAAGGACAAAATAGCATAACCCTTCCCTCCCCAGTCCTTCCTTATGTGTGGCTGTCATCTCTTCCTATTGGTGTTCCAGTGGGTGGTCAATTGGTGGTCCATGGGAAGAGGTGCCTTACTATCATTATCATTATGCTCTGTTTTTCAATACACTTGCTCCTGCTGTTGGGGCATTGCAAGCATGTCTGTCTTTATATGCACAATAAAAATAAAGAATTAAAAAAACAAACAAAAAAAACCCAAACAAACATATAATACGTAGCCACCACACATTCACACACTGCTTGGCCCAGGGTTATAAATCTTGTGTGCTAAAGCTCTGTTATCTGCTTGGAACTATAAACCAGAGGTATAAATCCCTTGTGTTAAAGTGCTAATACCATTCTTCATACACCTATTGCCTGTAAGGACTTTTTTGTTTTAATCTTGTGAAGGTAGGCAATAGGCATGCCTCAGGAGCTCTTACTGTCATCTGCACCTAACAGACTTGCAGGTTAAATTCTCCTCCACCACACCACCAGGGAAATTGCCCAGAATAGATCCACTGGATCACCATAGGGTAAACAGGTAAATATAATCTTTTAATGAATAAGGAAAAATGTGTGGGGAAGCCTGTCTCGTTACATTCAACCTGCTCTTTGACACAAACACCATCTGGACACCACTCCCCACACACAGCCAACACACACCACTCAGAACCCATGGCTTAAGCATCCCGCCTAGGACCCTGGGCAAACGATCTAGTTCTGAGTGACTTCAATTCTGGCACAGCAGGAAACACAGTACAAATGAATTGAAGAATGGAAACATTGTTTCAGTTTTTCCTATTCCACTAACAATATCCAATTTACAGCAACAATGATTGACACAAAGCCATTATGGAGGTGCCTAGTTCCAGTAGATATGTTAATTTCTACATTTAAAGGTATTAGTAATACAAAACTGTTTTCCTAAGGCTATAGTGTCCCTCTGGTCCCTCACCGTTGTTCTACCTCACCTCATCCACCACCCCCTCTACCCCATGGCAATTATAGCTTTAAAACTACACAGGACTTTCGTTGGTTCTCAGCGCTGACTCCAATTCCGTGTCCTCCGAAGTCAGCGCTGAGGGTGGAACATAAGGTGCAAGTGTGGCTCGCTATGTGCACATTAGGCCTTCCCCATAGGAAAGCATTTTTATTATTATTATTATTATCGCCATTTACATAGTGCCAACATATTCCACAGTGCTTCACTTTACAGTATTTTAATGGGGGAAATTTTACTATAGAAATTCAACAATACAAAATGTTACAGGAACAATAGGTCGATGAGGACCCAGCTCAAAAGAGCTTACAATCTAGAAGCATTGAATCAATTCTTTCCTCTGGGAGATTTTAGGAGGATGGGCGTCCTCATGCACAGTGTGAGGTCGTCCAGTGTCATTTCACAGAGTTAAAACTGGTAAAACAGCAGGAAGCACCTCTAGTGGTTGTCCGGTAGACTCTGAAACTGCATGCTTTCGATTGCAGGGTTAAAGGGGTTGGAACAGTGTACCCAGACCACTTCAGGGAGGGGTCTGTGGTCTAGGTGCCTATTGTGTAACTTTAATTTTACTGTTCAGACATCACAAAACATATTTGCTAGATGTAGAATATCAAGTGACAGTTCACCTTCATATACATTTGCATTATTTTAATATCATGGCTAGGTGGGTTTTGGGTTTTTAGAGTACTGGGCTGATTTTGCACTTGGGTACAACCTGTATAGTCGTGATGGATTGCACCTAAACGAAAGAGGGTCTGCTTTGCTGGGGGATAGGATGGCTAGAAGGTTGGAGGAGATTTTAAACAAGTAGTAGGGGGGAGGGTCAAAGCAATCTAGAAAATGGAGATAGGATAGAAATGAGATGGGCTTTAGCTCAGAACAAAGGGAGTGGAGATGGGGGGAGGGGAAAGCTCAGAACAGAGGAGGTATGTAATATTGATAATTCACAAAAAGTACAAATGACTCATGGTAATATTAAATGTATGCTTACTAATGTAAGGAGCCTATATAACAAAATGGGGGAACTAGAGGCAATAGCATACACTAAACAAGATGATATAATAGGCATAACTAAAACATGGTGGGATGAGACACATGACTGGCAGTTAACTTAAATGGGTACACACTATTTAGGACGGATAGGAAAAACAAGAAGGGTGGTGGGGTATGTTTGTATGCCAGCCATGAGTTAAAGTCAAATCTTAGGCATGTGGAGTGTGACGAGGAAAATGTGGAAGCTTTATGGGTAGATATCTGCTTGGGGAAAACAAAGGGAAATAAATTATTGGTTCGGATATGTTATAAACCACCAAATGTAAATGAGGAAGAACTGCTGTTAGAGCAAATTGGGAAAGCTGCAAATCGGGGTAACACGTTAATTATTGGAGATTTTAACTACCCGGACATAAATTGGGATAGAGGGACTAGTAGTTCAGCAAGGGGAATCCGGTTTTTGAATGTGTTAAATGACACCTTTATGTCACAACTGGTACAAGCACCAACTAGAAAGGATGCTTGTCTGGATCTCGTTATAACAAACAATGTTGATCTTTTAACCAACATTCAAGTAGGGGAGCATTTGGGAAATAGTGATCACAACATGGTAACTTTTTAAATAAACTCAAAAAAGCAAAAGCACATGGGGTATATTAAAACGTATAATTTTTAAAAAGCCAATTATAATAAGATTAGGGCAGCTCTACAACATATCGACTGGCATAAACTCCTTAGTGAAAGAAACACTGAGGAAAAATGGAAACTATTCAAACAAATATTAGAAAGGTACATTTCACAGTATGTACCATTGGGTAATAAATATAGAAGAAACAAATTAAAACCAATGTGGCTTAGGAGAGAAGTAAAACAAGAGATTAAAAATAAGAAAAGGGCATTTAAAACATTTAAATAATAATAAGATTTAGATATGGTGACAAGCCTCCAACTCCAAAAGAATCACACCTCCACAGAATCACACCTCCAAGACTAATGGAGGTAGGTCACCTAAACTGCTCTCCCTATGAGGGGCTAATCGTCAGATAATGTAACAGAAGAAAAAGAGACCCCAGTACACTCCACTAACGGGTGAGCAGTGGGGAAACACAGTGAGTATAAAGAGATAATTAGGGAGCTACATAAATCCTTTCAATAGGAAAATCAGTGTCTCCTGTGAAGAGCTGGGGCTGTGACAGAGAGACTGCGAGCCTGAGAGGCATAGAGACTGCTAAACCATTATAGCAAGAAAAGGTATTTTAAAAACCTTTTATTTTTTTATTTGTTAAGCCTTTCCCGATCTCGGACGTACCAGGTACATCCGACAAAAAAACGGCCATTAACGACCGTGGACGTACCTGGTACGTCTGATTTCAAATATGCACTTACATTATTGCTAGCGATCCCCTGCCGGTGATCGCGATGTGGGGACTTGCCTGGCATCTGGCCCCCCCACCGGGCCATGTGATCGTGGGGTCCTCGTGAACATATGGCCGGAATAGTGGGCTTGTGCAGTGCCCACAGGGGGAGTGCCTGCAAAAAAAGTTTTAAAGTTAATAAAAGTTGTTTAAAAATGTAATGTAATAACCTGCAAATGAGCAAGACGTGCTCTGCTTGAGCTCCCACCAAACGGCAACAAAGCTGCCTGAAATCGGGGCTGCAACCCTGGAAACCTCATATAACGAGGATACACTAATCGGGGAACCCAGTACGCACCCACAGATACCCAACACTTCACCTTGAATGCCTGGGACCCAAGGTGGAAGGTTGAGGCCTACGAGAGAGAACGGGCTGGGAAGACGGTCGCTTCCCGCTCAACACCCCGAGCCACAAGCAGGCACTAACCAAACCCCCCCCCTTGGACCGTTGGGGGTTATCCCGGTCCCCGCCACAAAGAACTGGACTGGTCTCTGACCTGCTATTGAAGGCGGCAGCTAAAGCAGACGGACCGGAGGGACAGGCCTCTAAGATGGCGGCCACAAGCGACAACCTTACTCATGGCAAGCAGCAGCAACCTGCATAACCTGAACCCAATCTAAACACGAGAGACACCCTGGACGTGATCTTTGAGAAGTTCTGGGCTAAGCTTCTGGTCTACACATGACCAGTCGCAGCCAAACCTCTCCCTGACCCACCTACAGCACAATCCAGCAGCACCAAGGGGACTGGGAAGCCTCTAATGGGCGCTAAAACGATCCAATCCTCTGTAATCTGCATGAAACGCCTGCCTGGACAAAGGGTAATGAGGGGACTCACCCGCAGGTACCGGCCACACAAGCGGAGGGCCGTAGGAAGCACACGGAGAAGCACGCTTGACACATGCAAGGCCCAACACACACCCTCGCCGGGGAAGACCCTGGACCAGGAAGGACCCCAGGCTTGTGGCCTGAAGGTACTAGCCCTCGCATTGATCCAGGGCCAAGGAGGCACCACGTCCACAAGGGGCTGCACAGCTGACCGGCTGAACATCTCTGAGCGCTCCCACACCCAGCAGCGCACAGAAGTCGGATTACACGTCTGGATGGGGGATGCAGTTGCAGTCTGGCGATGGAGCTTCACACAGTGGGACTAAAATGCTAGAAAAAAAAATGCTTGATCTTTCTTCTACCTACTGGGACTCTATGTAACATACTGCCACACCATACACCAGCTCCCATCACCAACACTACAAAACATGTTAGCATCTTATAGTAGCACTAGATATGTAGAATAAGCAGCATTACTCAACCACCTTGCTCTGATGACAAACGCATAGTTAAGCTTGTTACACGCCACATGCTAATATCTTGAACCGAACATGAGCACTCTCAATATCCCTAACAAAAAATGTGCACGTTATTCTGAATACCCCATAGTTGAAACTGTAGTGATTCAGCGTGAGGACTGCCGTTGGGGCACCACATGCAACCTGTTATAACTCTTTGCACTGCAAAAAAAAAAAAATTCAAATTTTTTTAATAAAATAAATAAAAGTGCTTAGATCATATATATATATATATTTGATCTTTTATATGCACATACACATATACAATCCATTATTGTGTATTTTAATATTAGTATGTTCAGGTGAGTGCAACCACCCCCCATGTTTCATAGAAACATAGAAACATAGAATGTGACGGCAGAACCATTCGGCCCATCTAGTCTGCCTAATTTTCTGAATACTTTCATTAGTCCCTGGCCTTATCTTATAGTTAGGATAGCCTTATGCCTATCCCACGCATGCTTAAACTCCTTTACTGTGTTAACCTCTACCACTTCAGCTGGAAGGCTATTCCATGCATCCACTACCCTCTCAGTAAAGTAATACTTCCTGATATTATTTTTAAACCTTTGTCCCTCTTATTTAAGACTATGTCCTCTTGTTGTGGTAGTTTTTCTTTTAAATATAGTGTCCTCCTTTACTGTGTTGATTCCTTTTATGTATTTAAATGTTTCTATCATATACCCCCGTCTCGTCTTTCCTCCAAGCTATACATGTTAAGATCCTTTAACCTTTCCTGGTAAGTTTTATCCTGCAATCCATGAACCAGGTTAGTAGCCCTTCTCTGAACTCTCTCTAAGGTATCAATATCATTCTGAAGATACGGTCTCCAGTACTGCGTACAATACTCCAAGTGAGGTCTCACCAGTGTTCTGTACAATGGCACGAGCACTTCCCTCTTTCTACTGCTAATACCTCTCCCTAGCCAACCAAGCATTCTGCTAGCATTTCCTGCTGCTCTATTACATTGTCTGCCTACCTTTAAGTCATCAGAAATAATCACCCCTAAATCCCTTTCCTCAGATGTTGAGGTTAGGACTCTATCAAACATTCTGTACTCTGCCCTTGGGTTTTTACGTCCAAGATGCATTATCTTGCACTTATCCACATTAAATGCCAGTTGCCACAACTCTGAGCATTTTTCTAGTTTACCTAAATCATTTGCCATTTGGCTTATCCCTCCTGGAACATCAACTCTGTTACATATCTTAGTATCATCAGCAAAAAGACATACCTTACCATCAAGACCTTCTGCAATATCACTAATAAAAATATTAAAGAGAATGGGTCCAAGTACAGATCCCTGAGGTACCCCACTGGTGACAAGTCCAAGCTTCGAATATATTCCATTAACTACAACCCTCTGTTGCCTGTCACTCAGCCACTGCCTTACCCATTCAACAATATTGGAATCCAAACTTAAAGATTGCAGTTTATTGATAAGCCTTCTATGTGCAACAGTGTTAAAAGCCTTACTGAAATCTAGGTAAGCAATGTCTACTGCACCACCCTGATCTATAATTTTAGTTACCCAATCAAAAAAATTAATAAGATTAGTTTGGCATGATCTCCCTGAAGTAAACCCATGTTGTCTCTGATCTTGAAATCCATGTGTTTTTAGATGTTCAACAATCCTATCCTTTAACATGGCTTCCATCACTTTCCCCACTACTGAAGTAAGGCTTACTGGCCTATAGTTGCCTGAATCCTCCCTATTACCTTTCTTGTGAATGGGCACAACATTCGCTAACTTCCAATCTTCTGGGAATACTCCTGTTAATGATTGGTTAAATAAATCTGTTAATGGTTTTGCTAGTACACCACTAAGCTCTTTTAATAGCTTTGGGTGTATTCCATCAGGTCCTATTGACTTTGCCTTTACTTTTGACAGTTGAAATAGAACCTCTTCCTCTGTAAACTCACGTGTAATAAATGACTCATTTATCCTTTTTCTTAACTGAGGTCCTGTTCCTTCATTTTCCTCTGTAAATACCGAACAAAAATATTAATTGAGGCAGTCAGCTAGACCTTTCTCCTCTTCTAAATACCTTCCTTCTTTTGTTTTTAATCTAACTAATCTTTGTTTTACTTTTCTTTTCTCATTTATCTAAAAAAAGGTTTGTCCCCCTTTTTTACTGACTGTGCTATTTTCTCTTCTGTGTGTGATTTGGAAGCTCTTATAACTTGCTTAGCCTCTTTCTGCCTTATAGATAATTCTGTCTTCCTAATTCTGTCTTTTTTATAATTACTAAATGCTAACTTTTAGTTTTTTACTATTTTGGCCACATCTGCGGAGTACCACAGTGGTTTCTTGAATTTTTTGCTTTTACTGACAAGCCTAATGCAATTTTCTGTTGCCCTCAGTAGTGCAACTTTTAAATAATCCCATTTCTCTTGGACTCCATTTAAATTGCTCCAGTCTGATAATGACTCTTTTACACATATTCTAATTTTAGAAAAGTCTGTTTTTCTAAAGTCTAAAACTTTTGTTTTTGTGTGGTGTGACTCAGTCACTGTTCTTATATTAAACCACACTGATTGATGACCTACAGTAATATCTGATACCAAATCTCCATTTGTTAACACTAAATCTAGTATGGCCTCTTTACGAGTTGGCTCCTCAACAACTTATTTTAGAGAAAATCCCAGTAGGGAGTTTAGAATATGTGTGCTCCTGGCACAAACAGCTATTTTTGTTTTCCAATTCACATCAGGAAGATTAAAGTCACCCATGATGATAACTTCCCCCTTCATTGTCATTTTAGCTATTTCCTCAACTAGTAGATTATCTAACTCTTCAATTTGTCCTGGGGGCTTATAAATCACACCTACATAAATTACTGTGTGATTACCAAATTCTAACGTAACCCAAACGGACTCTATGTTCGCCTCACTAACTTTTATTAGGCTAGATTTTATGCTATCCTTCACATACAGGGCCACCCCTCCCCCTTTCTTGCCTTCCCTGTCTTTTCTATATAAAGAGTATCCCGGTATTGATATGTCCCAGTCATTTTTCTCATTATACCATGTCTCAGTAACAGCGACTAAATCTACACTATCAGTTGCCATTATTGCCACAAGTTCATGGATCTTATTCCCTAAACTGCGAGCATTTGTAGACATGACTCTAAGCTTATCATTTTTTAAATTTTTTTTTTAATTCTTTATTTTTGTTGTGCATGTTATACATAGCAGTGACATACGCCACAACAGCGTGTCTAAGAATGTACTGAAATGGAACAGTGGCATGAGGAATTGCACATTTTTGTATAATTGTAACAATCATCAGCTTGGCTAAACAGAGAAGTCATTAATATAGAATGAAAAGGTAGCTTATTTTAACAATCAGAACAGAAAATAACCTCACTAGTGTTTCATGTTAGCTAGTTTTGAGTGACATAGAATAACATATGAATGATTGATTCAGGCTAGTTCTAGCTTTTATACAAGGGTGGATAACATATGATTAGTTTACTGTCTGCACTGAAGTGTAGTAGTAACAGGCTGAGTGTATGTGCTTATTGGCTACGTGCCATATATAGGCGATATTATGAAACAAGGGAGGCTATCAAGAGCTTCATTAATTAACCCTGTAGTGTGAAGGCAAGTCTCCCCGTTAAACAATAGGTGTGTGCCAAGCTGAAGGTTAAGCTTATCATACTGTTGCAGTTAATCAAGTTCAGATGGGCTTCAGGTGGCAGGTGTTAAGATGCATCATGCTGTGTTTCGGAATCAGTCCAGGCGACAAGCAATTAACCACATAGGAGAGTGTTGGTTGTTTTGCCTGTAGGGTGCCCAGAGTAGTTCAGCCAATACCTATTGGGTACTGGGTACACTCCAGGTATGAGTGGTAGTCCTGCATGGCAAAGCTCCTAGGTACTGGCAGGTAGGTCGGTTCCTTGATCGCTTTTGCAGGGGTCCCTTTCCTCTTTTCCGGCTGTAGTTGTGACCTTTGCTGGGTTGCTCGCTGGGGTCTCGTTGTGCATCTCGTCGCTCCGCGGTATCGGCTGGCTGGGTGTCGAACCGCTCTTCGCCTCCCCAGTTGGTCCCACGGTTTACAGCGTTTTACGGTAGTTGGGTTATGAACCTTCTTGCGGGTATTGCTGTTGGAAGATTGGGGTGTACTTTGCGGGGTAGGCTTCTCGCTCTGTCTTGTGGCCGGCATATGCTTGCGTGCAAGGCCGGTCTCCGCTTGTCTCCTCGGCTTGGTCTGTTTTATTGGCGGGCCTTCGCTTTTGTGTTGGCGCCCAGTTCTTGCTCTCTTTTCTCTGTGAGAATTGCTTTGAAGGCAGGAGCGTGCGGGTGGCAGTGTCGGCTTTTGCTCTTTTGGGACTTGCTTTAGGGCGTGATATGTGTCTAGTTTTTCCCAGAAGGCTTCAAAGATGGCATTCAGCCTTGCCTCTGTGTCATCCCTGGGAAATGTGTCGGGTCGTCCATTTGCCGTTGCCGCCATTTTGGTATTCGCTAGCTTGGTCTGCCTGCACTGTCCCTTGTCTCGGATGGGCGCTCCTGGGACCGGGATAACCCCCGCCGGTCCATAGGGGGGGAATGAGGGCTTATGTGCCCGTTGCCAGCTGTGGAGGGCTGCGGGGGAGCGGCCGTCTCCCCCATGCTGCCCTTGCTTGTAGACCGCAGGTGTCTCTCCTCTGTGTCTCACCAGTTGGGTCGTTCATTTGGTGTCTGCTGGTGCCCCATGGGGTCACCTCTCCGCATGTGGCACTTTTATGTCAGCTATCCGCCGTTATAGGTCTGATATAGTGTGTTTTCTGGCAAGCAGAGCAGGAGCAACTCTATCCTGCGACCGT